ACCGAAATTTTTGTTGAAACACCAAAAAGTTACGAAAAAATCTTGTCTAAACATTAAAAAAAAATGGAATTGATGTTATTTTGATTATTTCTCTCCATTAATTTTTTATTTTTTATTTATATTGAGCAAAATTAGGCCAAAAAACACAAAATTTGGTCAAAAATGCTTCGGTTTTTTTTTACAAAAATTTTAGTTTTTTCGCGAGATACTAAAAAAACACAAGTTAAGTTGAAAATTATATTATTTTAGTGTTTTAGCAGGTTTTTCGACAAGAAACGCAATTATTTCGCAAAATTTTGTTAAAAGTAAGTCAAAAATTTAGCAAAATTGTCAAAAAATGGTGTTATTTTTGCCTTTTGCAAGTGTTTAAGCACGTTTCTAAGCTAAAACCAAAAAAGTCTCAAATTTCGTTTAAATAAGCTAAAAAATTACAAAATTAAATCAAAATTTATTTTGTTTATTTCGATTTAATTGTTTTTTGGGCTAAAGTAAGTCAAAAATAAGCACAACCACAAAATTTGGTCGAAAATGCATTTATCAAATTTTTTTGCAGGTTTTTCAATAAGAAAAGCAATTATATCGTAAAATTTCGTTAAAGCAAGAAAAAAAATCAACAAAATAGGCAAAAACGATGCTATTTTTGCTGTTTTAAGTGATGAAGTACGTTTTTGAAATAAAGCTAAAATTTATAAAATTTCGTTAAAACAGGCTGAAAAATTACAAAATTAAATCGAGGTAGGTAAATATTATTTTGTTTATTTCGATTTAATTGGATTTTGAGCAAAATTAAGTCAAAAATAAGCCGAGAAACCAGAAAATTTGGTTAAAAATGCTTTTAGGCATATTTTTGTATTAAAATATCAACAAATTAAGCCAAAAATTATATTATTTGTGCATTTCTTATTGGCGTTTCAGCATATTTTTTTACACAAAAATTCCAGAACTAGGCCGAAAGTAATTTTTGCCTATTTCAAGGGTTTAACTAGATTTTTTGGCTGAAAACTCAGTTTTTTGCGAGATTTTGTAAAAAATCACTAAATTCTATAAAAAAAAATGTAAACTTTCGACACTTGAAAGACTTGGATTGTAATTTTGTAAAATGTGGTGAAATTAGGTGTAAACTTTTTGAACTCGGATCTGGTGACTTTTATTTTTCTGAGCTGGCAACACGCCAATGAAATTAGTAGTCAAAAAACCACTAGTGTTTTTTTTGTGAGTTCAAAAAATGTCAGTGTAAGAAAAAAAACTTTAGCCATGATTATCAAATAAAGAACAGTAAACAAATGGTAATCATGTCCCTACAGTTCATTATTTGTCCAAAATGATTTGAATTTTGCCTTAAAATGTAATTGAATTAAAAAAAATGTACCGGATTTTGAATTTTGTGACAATTCAAAAAATGTCAATGTAATCCACGCTTTATTGTCATTATGAATTGACATTTGAAATTAAAATTTGAAAGTTTTAGTTGAAATTTATTTTTGGCGTCGATTCTCCGAAACAATACTAGCAATACGTGTAAGTTCAAGAAATTATTTTGTTTTGTTGTCATTTTTTCCTCTAGCTGTCAGGATAAAAATCATAAAAACCAAAAGTGAGGTTAGTTGCCTAAAGCTTGTTTTACATTTTTATATCAGTCGAATGACAAATCATATATTTAATATAAAAAAAGTCTTAAATATAATTAAATATAAAAATTTGCTCGTTGATTGTCAAGCCGAATTTAACTCTTTGTCTAATTTTTTCTTCTAAATTTTTCATTTAAGACATCCGTAGCTTTTGCTTTTGGAAAATTTTCATTGCAAAAGCTACGCATTTTTGAAATGACAAATTTTGTCGGAAAAATTAAAATTACATTTGAATAATAGTCTGTCTTTGCTTGTGTTTTTTAACACTTTTATTAATGATTTGCGTAAAAATGTTAATCTATCAGATATGGACTATCTAAGGCACCCAAACCCGCAGCGACGCCACCTTCATTCGCCGTTGCCACTTTAGTACGCAGCATATGCCCCACTTGTTTATTATACGTGATTTTTTCTGCATCCCTGTAACACAATCTTAAAAAAAAAAACAAGAAAAAAATAATAACCGACCCTATCACAACACCAAAAATCCCCAATTCCGAGACCATGTCCACCAACTGTGGAGCCTTACTTCCCCCAGGCCGCACCATGTACCCTGTAGATAGCGGCGGATGAATCCTTTCCATCAAAATCCAAGCCGTGCGTTCTTCACTATCCTTCATTTTTTTAACAGCGTCTCGCACCTCCAATCCATACACATTATTACCGCCCCCTTCTCTCTGGGGCTTTAAAACAAATCTTTCAGGATCATCGATCGCCATTTGTATTGCTTGCTCCCCCAATTCGTCAAAATCGAGACTGTAGAGACCCGCAAAAATCTGCTTGACTTTTTCGACTTTCGAAGGGTCGTTCAAAAACTGGTCCAAAGCCCCCGGTTTTGCGAGAGTTTGTTGGACTTTTTTGGTCCCAGCCAAGTGGTAATGAATCGAGGGACTTTTAATAGCCAATGACCTTTAATTATTTTTTTTTTTGATTATTAATTCCTTTAAATTAAAAACACAAGGCGTCATGTCGTGACAACTTGACAAATTTTATATCATTTTGTTCGTCTCATTAAGACAAATCAAATGCACTAAAAAAAAATTCAAAAAGTCCACACACTTTGAATAAAAATTTTTTTTTTCTAATTTAAATGAATTTAAAATATTTTAACTTTGAAAAATCATTACTCAATAACTATTAGGCTGATTTTTTTCAAATAAAGACCATTCTAAAGGGATGAACTTGCCCTTTAGAATGATATGCAATTTGAAATTGAATATTGGCAAACTTTTCTTCGAACAGTGTTCGAAGAAGTTCGAAGTAAATCGAAGTAATCTAAGAAAAACTCTAAGAGTAAATTTTTTGTTTCTTCGTCACCATCGTGTAGAGCATCTTTTTATTAGTAAGGAGTTTTTAAGATATGATTTTTTGAAGTTAAGGTTTGCTATTCAGGTATTGCGCCATATGCATGTTAATCTTACTTAAAATTGCATTTTTATAAAAGTATTTGTTTTAAGGCTCTTCTTTTGCTTAAAAATGGTCAATTGCACCTTCTTTGTTCTAATTAGAATAAACAAAAACTGTTTCTTTACTTAAAACAAACAAAGAGTACCTGCGTACTAATTAAAGCAAATAAAGAGTTTTTTTGTTCTAAAAATGATCACTGATCATTGAGCAAAAAGGATTTAGAAGTTTAAAGCAGTAGCTTTAA